AAATGGTAAATTAGCCACTGTAATGATTACAATAGCTGACTTTTCGAGCGTTAGCCCTTCGTCATTCGCTCTGACGAAGGGCTAACGCTCGAAACGTCAGCTTTTGTGATCATTACAGTGGCTAATTTACCATTTCAACTTTGTTGATATATCCAAATTATTTCGTTACTCCCACCGACGCAGACCCAAACATTTTCTTTCGAAACTATCAGCCTTTAACCTGGAGGTATGTTCAGGTGGAAGAGGTCAAGGTCAAATAATCTCTTAAATTTGTAAAGTTTATTACTGAATGGAGTGGATGAGAACAAATTGATATTAAATTGCGGATGTGCAGAGGCAATATCTTTGCACCCATAGTAAGGTGATTCCTTAAGTAGTAGTTTGTTTTCTCTCTCTCTACTCTTAATTCATGCAATGGCAGGATGAGGAGAATAGTTAATCATACCATAAGCATTCCTGTGATCATTTGCACGATGCAGACATGTCTGACTACTATGCAAGTTATAGACCGTAAAACGTGACTCAATATACAGAACCATAGTATAGCACAGCACATCTTAGTGTTAAGCCAGATCTTAGCTTTGCTAAATCATCCTTAGAATAAAGCTTGAAGATTTGAGACGTTTTGGTTGCTCTCATTAGAACAGCTCCACCTTTGGTCCAGCAAAATTTAAATTTTAGTTCTTGTTGACACTTCTTTGATTCATAGAGTAGCTGTTGTAGCTTTGGCGTTAAGTGTTGGAAAGTTCTTGTTAAGGTGAAAAGTGCATCTTGTGGCAAATCCACTTGAGAAGGATCTATTGTGGTTATTCTTTTTCTTTGCCGCATTATCTCTTCAATGGGTAATCGATGGGTAAATTTAAATATGAAGGCATTGAATGAAGAGCTTGCATCTTGATTCCTTGCAGGTCTCTTCGGAACATGATGTGCTATGTCGGTTTCGTTATTGGAGACACTAGCACCAATCTTTTGAAATATTTTAGCACAGAGCTCGATTGTTGCCATTGCACTCTCATCAGGTAGCTCAGGTATTTCTATGAACTACAGATTATATTGATAGCTGTAGGCTTACAGAATACAGAACACAGAACTTTATTTTACCTGGCACTCCACATAGCTAATAGATACTTTACAAGAAGCCCACAAATAAACATAAAATTGCAAAACAAAAGAAAGATAGAATTTAGCTAACACTCTAAAAATGTTAAAAATCTAAAAATATCTAACCAATCTAATTAGTGATGTACCAGTACATGTGTAATTACAAATTAAAATTACAATGTTACAAAGCTACGTAACTGCAATAACAACAATTTTAAAATGCTACATTACGAATACTTCTTAAAAATTCCCTTGTGCCAGCCATGGTGTTAAAGGAATCCGGCAGTGCATTCCATGTCTTTGCAGCGAAGTACCGAAAAGACCTAAGACCCTGCTTGGTGCTTGTTACTTTGGGCAACAAAAGTAACAAGTAAAATCTGTTCAAATCAAAACATCAATGACGAATTCTTCATCCCCCCTTACTTATCTCAGAAAACCAAAAGTCTTTAAGATGGGGATACTCATGCCTCACTAGTACAACATGGTTGTTCTGAATGCTAAATAGTTCTGGCACTACATAGGCCTCTATCTGAATAGCTTTCTGTCCACCTAACGGACTTACCTTTATTTTGACAACATCTCTCATTTTTATGTCTCTTGAATGTTGGCCAAAGGTTCTGATCCTAAGCCCATCTTGCCTGACGACTGTGAGCTGAGTGCAATGGGCGGCTCTGGCAGTGATAAAGGAGCGATGACTTCATGCATCAAAGAAACTCTAACCTGATGCGGTTCACCTTCCCCTCTAATCGTGATGCAGGCGACTTGCAGGGTACTTGACCTCTTGTATCCATGTGCAAGCTACTGGGAGTAGTAGCGACGGGTCTGGCATCTGGTGCAACTTCAAAATTATTCATGGCTGGACCCCCAGTCTGGCGGTCACAATTTTTAAATAACTCGACAGAAATGCAATCTCGGGCACGATGGCCCTTACATAAACACTTAAAACACCTGGCAAACCTAAGAAAGATATTCTTACGCATTCTCACATCCTTGATCTACTGACAGTTCTCGTGGGTGTGTTTGCCCAGACAAAATGCACAGTTCTCAGTCTCTTGTTTTGTAAACATCTTGGAATTTACTGCATACCCTCTGTTGCCTCTCCTTCTAATATCACGGCTCTGGTTACTGTTTCCATACGTTCGTTGCTCTCACGATCCTGTGGATATTGTATAAAAGTGGTCCTCTCTCAGTTCAAGTCTCCCCATGAATGCTTGCAGCATTTCTTCCATCGACCACTCCAAGAATTTGGCTCCGCTAGTGATGGTTAATTGAAAGGCCTCAGGGAACTTTTGCATTATAGCAGGCACTACTATTGCGGAAAATGTACCTTCCTCCACTCCGAGAGCCTTTAATCCTTTGAAATGAGCCTTGCAGTCATCTTAAAGCTTTCTCAATCGGGGCGTATCCTTTTCATTGTAAACTGGCAGTAGATTGAGTAGATTATTCACGTGGGCCAGTTGAATAGCGGCTCTTTTCCCGCAGTGTTTCTTAAACACCTCTACAGCCTCAGCATAATTTCCTGATGTTAACGCGAATCCAGCAATTGTTGATCTCGCAGGTTCGACCAATAAGCTACGCAAGTACGCGAAGTTATCCACTGTTGAGAGGCTGTCATTCTTATCAATGGAATTTTGAAACGTCCTAAAACTCTTGCCATTCCTTAATTCTGCCATTAAACTTCTTAACATCCAGTTTTGGAAGCTTAGCTTTCATTTTGACGTGCCCAGGGCTTGTTGACACTGCACTTGGGCTTGGTATGTAAACACTTGGAGGCGGTGGGCTCGTTGGCGACAGAACATCAAACTTGTTCAGTTCGTCTTCCATTCTTACAACAATACTGTTTAATTTGGCTCGCACATCGTCGCATTCATCTATCTCCTCTAAAACAAGTAGTATGTCTGGCCTTTATGGCACCTTTCACAGGGTCTGGGTCCGAGGGATTTGGCTGAGTGAATTCTAATTAAATATTCATACGGCATAGGTGCACGAGGGGATTTTTAGGGTATAATTGGAAAATTAAACGAAACTTAACTGTAATTTGAAGGTTGATAGAGATTGTACCGTAGCATTTGCAGGAATGAGGTCACGTGAGATAGCAAGCATGTGTATCCGAGCTCAGTCTTTAAAGGATTTTGGATGAATTTGTAGAATGTAGTTGAAGGCATACACCTAGGCCCAGGGTACTATGGGGTATAGGGAGGGACGTGACCTCCTCATTCCTGCATATGCTATGGTAGAATCTCTATTAAACTTCAACTTACAGGTAAGTTTCGTTTAATTTTCCAGTTCTATCTCGCATTTGCATACAATCGGAGGCCATGTGAGATTTTAAAGCTCAAAGTCTCCCAAAATCAGCCCTCAAATGAAAAATGACATACATAAACTTTTACACAGTGGTCAATAGATTTTATGTAGTACAATGATGGGCAAAGCCATATAGAACATGTGCAATAACAGTAAAATAAGACTGAATGTTATTTGCTGGGAAGCACAGCTTCTGGAAAATTGTTGGCTGTAGCCATAATATCTTCAATAGGGACATCTGCCACTTTGTCTGCAGAGGTTGAAGCTGATCGTGTGCTATGACTTTTAAAAACACTAGTGTCAATGCCTGCAGATTTCATGCTTTGTTTAATCCATCTAGCAATGGAGTCTCTAGAAACTGGTCCATGAGGGTTAGCATAGGAAATAAGCAATTGATGAGTCCTTTTGGAGGGAGGCAGTTCTTTCAATATAAGCATTTAACTAAGTAAACATGCAGAGTTTTTTTTATCCAGAGCGTAACATTTGAACATAATGGGAGACAAATGTCTGTTCTTCCCCCGGCTGCTTCTGGTTTGTTTAAGACAAGAAGTTATGGTATGTGATATGTGTTCTGACTGTACATTCATGCTATCCAAAGATAATAACTGTAGTGTTTGTGTTCTTTGAGCAGACACCAGGGCCATGATCATGACTAGTTTTTTGCGTGAGAAGTTTCAGTGTGTACATTATGCTCCTCACAGAATTTTCACCCATGTGGTAATGTATGTTTGGTATTGTCTGAGGGTCCCTGTTCTCCAGGACTGGAGTATAATATCAAGTGGTTCACCTGTAATGCCTTGTTTTGTCAGGGCTAGCCTGACACAAGACAGCCAAGGAGTTGTAGTTTTGGGTAAAGAGGGTGTATTTCCTCGGGATTGTGAGGTAGCGTGAGTGTTTTCCTGTTGTTTATTATCTTTATTGGCTTGTCCTGAAGCATGTGAAGTTGGCGCGGGTACCAAGACTGAGTTTCCCAATAGGGAACCATCAGGATTGTAGAGACCTTGTTGAACTGAAGTTTCTGAAGGACTTTGCCTATGAGACTAAAAGGTGGGAAGCAGTATATTAGTTGATATTGTGACCAGTCAATTGTAAAGGCATCAATCGCTATGGCACCTGGGTCAGGTGTCCAGGCTACATATTTCTGGACTTTGTGGTTTAGTCTAGAGGCAAACATGTCTATTTGCGGCATTCCCCATATGTTTGTAAGGTGTTGAAAGGAGGCTAGAGCAGGAGACCACTCAGTGTTACTGTCATGTTGCCGGCCTGCTTTGTCAGCCTCAGTGTTAAGAATGCCAGGTAAATGGGAAACAGACAGTTTTAAGCTTCGTTCTTTACACCAGAGCATGATATCCCTTGCCATATCTTTACATTGTGGGGAATGAGTACCTCCCATATGGAGGTAGGAGACTGATGTAGTATTATCACATAAAATTTTGATAACCTTGTCATGCAAATGATTGCATAAGGATTTCAGTGTTAGAAACACGGCTTTCAGTTCTAGAAAATTAATGTGGTTTTGCGATTCATCTGGTGACCACGGTCCTTTTGCTATGGAATCAGTGCCTTCAATCACGTCACCCCAACCCGAAAGTGAA